AGAAGAAGTAGGTGTTGCTCATTGCTGCTCTTGTTGGGGTCCCAGGCTGCCGGGGGGAATCAGACACACCAGACCCTGCAGGGCCTTTGAGAATGCCGTGTTGGGCACCGCTGCCAACCCGGACTCACATCACCGTCACCTGAGACGATTCCAGAAGTGTCATTCTGGGCCGGCTCTGATTCAGTCACTTCCTGACAACTGAGCCTTGGGCAATGACAGGGGAATCAAAATTAGGCTGGACTTCCTCAAGTTTCAACTCCGTGCCAGTCACTGCTCAAGGTGCTTTACCCACGTTAACTCACCAAGTCCTCAAAACAACCCCAGGAGGTGAGTGTGGTCACTACTGTCATTTACAGATGGGGAAACTGAGGCACAGAGAAAGTAAATGATGTGCCCCAAGCTGTAAGTGGCAGAGCCAGGTCCCAAGTTGCTCTGGCTCCAAGGCCAAATGCTTCCTGGAGTGGCACCTGAAGATTTGTGCCCTGGTCTCCTGGGACCCTGACTCGAGCCCTTTCCTGCCTCAGTAAGTGAACAGGGACATGTGTGTTTCAACCTGAAGGGCTGCTCACAAGACACAGGCCTGGATGCGGCCTCCTGCTCTGCTGAGTTCAGCTTAGAAGTCGGCCAGCTCAGTGACCTGCAAAAGTGAGGGAGTCCCTGCCATTAGGGAAAAGGGGTCTTGGTCTTTTCACCTGTGGATGGAGTTGGGGAAAATTCAACACTTTTGCTGATCTGAGGTCTTGGAAAAGCAACTCCATGAGCAAATAAATATGAGAGTGCTTCACAAAGTTCATGGAGGGCTGGGTACTTGGTGCCGTGGATAAGACACGGCTTGGGATGCCAGCATCTTGCATCAGAGGGCATGGTTTTGAGACCTGCTTTCGCTTCTGATCCAGGTTCTAGCTAATGTGCACCCTGGGAGGCCGTAGGTGATGGCTTAAGAATGCAGGTTCAGGGTTGGCACTGTGGCGTAGCGGGTAAAGCCGCCTCCTTCAGTGCCGGCATCCCATATGGGCGCCAGTTCGAGACCTGGCTGCTCCACTTCTGATATAGCTCTCTGATATGGCCTGGGAAAGCAGAAGATGGCTCAAGCACCTGTATGGGAGACCCAGAGGAAGTTCCTGGCTCCTGGCTTCGGACTGGCCCAGCTCCGGCCATTGCGGCCAATTAGGGAGTGAACCAGCAGACAGAAGATGTCTCTCTCTGCCTCTCCTTCTCTCTCTGTATAACTCTGACTTTCAAATAAATAAATAGATATTTAAAAAAAAAAGAATTCAGGTTCTTGCTATGCACATGGGAGCATGGGATTGATTTCTGGGCTCCTGGCTTTAGCCTGGCCCAGTGCCAGCTGTTGCCAACACTTGGGACAGTGAACCAGTGGATGGAAGATTTCTCATTGTCTGTCTCTGTCTCTCTTTCAAGTAGATGGAAAAAAATAGTTCATGGAAAAATGAAATTAAAAGAAAACAATTTGGGGGCAAAATTTTTTTTTTGCAAAAGATTTCTTTATTTATTTGAAGTGCTGAGTGACAACGTACAGAGGGAGCACTTCTGTCTGCTGGCTCACTCCCCACATGGTTACAACAGCTGGCGTTGGGCCAGGCCAAAGGCAGGTGCCAGGAACTCCATCTGGGTTTCCCACATGCATGGCAGGGGCCCAAGTATTTGGGCCATCTTCCGCTGCCTTGGATCGGAAGCAGAGCAGCTGGTACTTGAACCGGCACTCTGATATATGATGCAGATGTCCCAAGCAGCGGCTTAACCTGCTGTACCACAGTGCCTGCCTGAAAAAAAGTTGTGATATCTGTGCCTAGTGTTTCCATATCGTGCATTTTCCAGGAACTTCTCTTTTTCTAAGTTTTATGTATTTGAGAGGCAGAGTGACAGATACAGAGAGAGCTCCCACCGCAATGGCTGGAGCTGGGAAGTCCGTCCAGGTCTCCCACGTGGGTGGCAGGGACCCAGTCCCTGGAGCCATCACTGCTGCCTCCCAGGGCCTGCATTAGCAGGGCGCAGGAGGCAGGAGCTGGGGCCACCGGCGCTCTGCTTTGGCACGTGGGTGTCTCAACCAGCATCGTAACTGCTAGGCAAAAATGCCTGCCCCATTCCAGGGACTTTCTGGAGATCCTTCATACTCATGGATTTCAAAACTTCTTGCACCCAAATAAACTTATCTTTTAATCCCATTTTCCATGAAGCTTTTGAAGAACTCTTACAGTACCGCTGACTGGGCTGGGTGAGAGCAATCCTCATTACAGCCGTGCTGGCGGCTCAGCCTGCCTCCCTCACTGGCCAGCGTCTTGCCCTGGCATCTGCCCTGCTATCCTCGGGGTGCCTTGCAGCAGGACGTGGCCAGGGAGGCCTCTCTCCACAGACAGCTGCGCTGGTACCCTCTTTGGGGGCAGGTCTTTGTATTGTTTTTTAAAGATTTATTTATTTATTTGAAAGTCAGAGTTACACAGAGAGAGGAGAGGCAGAGAGAGAATCTTCATTCGCTGGTTCACTCCCCAATTGGCCACAACGGCTGGAGCTGTACTGATCTGAAGCCAGGAGCCAGGAGCTTTTTCCGGGTCTCCCACGTGGGTGCAGGGGCCCAAGCACTTGCGCCATCTTCTACTGCTTTCCCAGGTCACAGCGGCGAGCTGGATCGGAAGTGGAGCAGCCATATGGGATGCCGGAGCTTCAGGGCATTAACCCGCTGCGCCACAGCCCCCGGGCTTTGTATCTTGTTCCCGGTGCTGTGGCACCTCACGTGGATAGCTTCCCCGCTACACCAGAAAAGTTCTGCCGATGCCACACCTTGGCAACGTCTCTGCACCAGTGAGGCAGGGTCACACCTTCTCCAGTGACACGTTGGAATCTCAGCCCTGACAGGGAGGGGTTGCTGCTCATGGACTCTTAAAATACTCTTGACTTGTTAGAGCCAGTCCCTTATTAGAATAGCACTAATGATTGCTTACAGAACAACATCCCTGTTCAACTATCTATGCGGTTGCAGTCCCGGCTGGATCCTTAGTGGCACAAACCCCACACCCCCTGGCTGCTTGCTGGCTTTGGCATGAGCTCTGCTGGTGGCCCGTTCCACCTGGTTGACATGGTTCAGTGGTCAGGAGCAGAGCCAGGCTGCCTGGGTTTAGAACCCACATCCAGCACTGGCCCATGGGAAGTCTCCCACCTCTCTATCTGTAGAATGGAGACGGCTTAGTCCGTTGCAGCTGTTGTATGGACTGCTGTAACAAAGCACCGTGACCTGGGAACTGTGCAAATAGCAGAAACTTGGGGCTCATAGTCCTGGAGCGTGAGAAGTCGCAGATCAAGGTGCCGGCAGATTGTGTGTCTGTGGGGAGCCTGTTCCTTGTCCATGGCACCCTCTGAGTGTCTTCACTTGGTGGGAGAGAGGCTTCTAAGAGCCCTGATCCCCTTCCTAAGAGCTTTGCCCTCACGGCAATAGTCACCCCCTAGAGGCCCCCACCTCTTCACACCACCCCACTGGGGATTAGGTCCCTGGTAAGAATTCCAGCGGGGGTACTAGGATCACCGTGGGGGCCACATGAGTTAACATATGTCAGGTGTTGGGCACAGAGTGTCATATGAGTACTTGATATTATCATCAGCTTCCTTCAGCTCACTCTTTGCTCCCGCCCATGCCTGCAGTGCACTGATCTCTTCTGATGTCACTGTAGGACGTCCCTTGTCAGACAAGTCGCTTCTTCGGGACTTTGAGCTCCGCGGGCAGCGGTGCCCGAGTGAGGTGCCTGACGGAGTGAGGGAGTAACCGTGGCAGCTCAGGGCCTTGGAGAATTGGATTCCGGGTTAGGGTTGCGTGAGCAAGAGCTGCACGGGGCATGGAGGGGGGTGGTCTGTGAAGGGCAGGGGGGAGGGGACGAAGGTGGGGAGATTCTTCAGGCCTTCGCGCAGGTCTGACCATCTCTGGAACACATGGGGAGGAGGATCTCCGACCGCAACTCAGTTCTAAGCGAGGTCGGCCAGAAGCCCGTGAGCCACGGCCACCCACTGGAGCCCCGCTGTCACCTGCAGTGGAACTGAAAGCGGCCCTGGGAGGCACGGGCCCTGGGAGGCACAGACCCTGGGAGGCACAGGCCCTGGTGCAGAGGTGGTTCCCGCGGCTGGTCTGAGCATGTTTTTATGGCCACCATGGGAACCAACAGGAAGCAGGTTGGCCACACCCCCAGAGTGCAGGGCCGGAAGGAGGCATGCCAGAAGGTGTCATTGCGGTGCAGGGAGGTGTAGGTCCAGAGCCCCTCTGAGGAGACCTTCATTCCAGAAGATGTAAACCTACACAGTGCTAAGTCCCTACAACTTAATGAGGGAAGTCGTTCCAAATCCCACCAGAACTGCTTACTTTCAATTTTGTGAATTTCCTCTCAGGTCCTACGGTGTTTACATTATTTCAATCACCATGCAGGTAGTACTTCATTTTACTTTAAAGATCTGATATTGATAACCAGTATTTCTCCTGCTTCTACCATAGTCTTCATAATCAGTGGTCAAAAAAACTATGAATGCACCTAATTTACGAATACACTGCTGTCAACATTCCCATATTCTTATTTTAAAAAGTGGTAACTAACGGTCTTATGTCCATATTTGGGCACATACTATTTAATGTGTTGGGTTAGAGCTCAGGGGTGACTTTCTAGGTTTATAGTTATTAGGTCAAAAGTTTTGCAATGACACATCCTGGCATGCCTCATTCTGGCCCTGCACTCTGGGTCAGGGACAGGCAGGCAGAGCCAATGCCAGGGCTCCACTCCCTGTTCCTGGTGCTCACTAGATATGCAAAAGTGTGTGTGTGTGCGTGGGGGGAGGTGGCAACATGCATACACACAGAGCGGGTGGAGGCTTTGCAAGCCAAGGCTATGGGGTAAGGACAGGAAACAGCTCGTGTGTGACCTGGAGCACCCATCCCAGGGCCTCGCTCTCCCCCCACACTGGATGAGTCTCTTTTCTGTTGCTCTAACAAAACGCCCAAGGCTGGGTAATTTGCAAAGAGATTTATTTGGTTCACAGTTCTGGAAGTCCAAGAGCACAGTGCTAGCTTCTGCGTGGCTCTGGGGAGGCCTCGGGGCGAATGGCATGACAACAGCGGGAGCGTGTGCAGAAGTCACACAGCAGGACTCAGACACTGAGCTCCGGCCCCAGTGACAGTCCCCGCAGCAAGGCAGGCCGTCCCCCACCCCTCCCCGAGCCCTGCCTGGCTCCCGCTTCTCTGCCTCGTGTCAGGAACCACGTGCCACCACAGGGCACCCTTCCTGGTGTGGCCTAACCATTCCCGGCCCTGGTTACACTGCGACAGGCCTGAGTTCTTCAAAACTCTCCCAGACAAAGCAATGCCCAATGACAAGGACCAGGCTGGCCTGCCTTGCTGATTACAGCTCTCTTCCCCTCGCCCTGCTGGAGTGTCCCGTCCAGGGAGCCAGGCTGGGGCTCCGCACTGCACCAGCCGCTGATCCCAAATGCAACACCAGGCCTGATCCATCCACCACCCTCCTCTCTTCTCCAGGCCACCACCTTAGCAGCAGCAGGGTCTCCGTCCTGCAATGGTTTGTTCTTCCTTTGCCCTCAGCCAGATCTCCTGCCAGGTGCTGGCAATACCCGACCCCCACTTAAGCCCAGGGGCTCTCCTGGTGCCCACCAGCCTTGCAGCTCCCCTTCTCGTCTTTGAAGCTCTACCACTGGGAACTGAGCCCCCAGCAGACCGGGTGGTGGTGGGAAACAGTTCTCTGCCCTAGCAAAGTGTTTCTAGGCTGGCATCACCGCTGGCGCAGGTGTGTGGCCCAGCCCCACGTCCACTGCTGCTCACCAGGAGGGAGGGACATCCTATTTGTGCAGATGCCCTCTGTGCCAGGCCTCACACAATCCTAAGATGCTGCGAGGGGGTTCACACTCTGCCCCATTCACAGGGTAGAAGCCAGGCTGTTAATCTGGGCCCATGGGTGCAGCACTGAAAGACCCGCGCAGGGTGCACAGCAGGGCGGAGCCTGCCCAAGCCGGAAGCACCCGAGCACCAAGCCCTCAGGAGTGGCTCGGATTGAGCGTTGCCCTCCACACCTGCAGCACAGAGTCCCGGCGTGTGGTGTAGGGCAAGTGCTTGATGCGGAACCAGTGTCTGGGGACGACGTTCCCACTGGGGGTGTACAGCTGCTCCCCATGCGGTCCCAGGGCGCTGCGCACGGCCAGATTGCCCGACAGAATCTTCTCGTAGAATTCCACCCCACCCTGGGCGTAGGCTGTGGACAGGGAGGCTGCGCGGCGGTCCAGCCAGGCTTCCAGGGCATGGGTGAGAGAGTCGGTGGAGAAGGCGTAGGCCACAAAACCTGCCACCGCAGCCACCAGGTTGAAGGCAGCGCGGAGGTTCATGGGCCCTCCATAGAGCCCCAGTGCTTGCTTGGCGCCCACGCTCAGGGCCCAGGTTGCAGCCAGGCAGGCTGGGGCTGGCAGGGCCTGCAGGGCGGCGGCGCTGCTCTCCAGGTACACCACCTCCTTGGCCAAGGCAAACTTCTGGGCGTCGTGGGACAAGGTCAGAGCGTCTCTCAGCCGGGCACCTGCAGGGCTCTGCCAGTCTACTCTCTGCCCATGCACGACCACAGGCTGCTCAGTGCTGGTCACCAGGCCCCCCAGGAAAGTGGCAGGGATGCCCACCACGGCACCAGCAGGAAGTCTTGGGGAGCCAGCACTCACAGGCTGGAAGGTGAACGTGATGAAGGGCTTGTAGCAGTGTTCTGAGGGGACTCCCAGGTCGTGCAGCACTTCCTGGAAGAGGCCGCGCAGCTCCGGGGAGAGTGCGGCCGGCTGGCCCTGGGGCCAGTACTGGTAGAGCCATCGGACCACAGGGTCCGGGAAGAGGTGGTATGAGACTTGAGCCCCAAACAGGCCTGCGCAGGAACCCACCAAGAGGCCAGTCCGGTGTCTCTGCACAAATGCTGCGGCCCGCCACAAGGGACCAGCCATCGGGGCTGCGGCCGCTGACCACCTGGCCGGGAGAAAGAGAAGTCAGCTCCTGCTGCCCTGGTCTGCCTGCAGACTCAGCACCCGCCCAGGCCCACAGCCTCCCTTAGGGAAGCAGCCAGCACTGTGGCTACCGGGCCAGCCTGAATAGCTTGGAGCCCCGCCCATCTCTGTGTGCCATCTCCCCCTGTGCCACACAGGCACGAGACCCTGGCCCGCCTCCAGTAAATGAATGAACACATGACAGTGTCTGGCCCGGCTGAACTTTTTATATTTCTATTCCCTTGGCTAGGGACTCAGTACTCAACTCCTACCTCCACCATTCATCCCACAGTGAGGCCCTACACTTGGCAATTTCAAATGAAAACTCAATTTGCTGTTAAGTACTTACTACATGCTAGACAGTTCTGAGCTTTCTACACCAGCGTTCAGTACTCATGCGGCACTGGTTCCAAGTCCTCACAAGGTACCAGAAGCTGCGGCTGCCCACACCCCTTATTTAGAATGGTGTGGTGTTTACATAGAATTTATGCCCACGCCCCTTATTTAGAATGGTACAGTGTTTACATAGAATTTACGCAATCCTCTCCAAGACCCTAAGTCATCCCTAGACCACTTCCAACAATGTATATCGAGAAAAATACCTGTATCTCTTCAGTACGGATGCCATTTTAAGAGTATTTTCCATCTGCAGGTGGCTGGGCCCACAGGTGCAGCCCTCACAGATATGCGGGTGGCGACTGTACCACCTACCCCTGAATCCTCACAGCCTCACCCCATTAGTAGTCATTAGACTACTCTCGTCCCTGTTCTAAAGCTGTGAAAAGTGAGGCACACACACATGGAGTAAACCAGCCCAAATCTCAAGCTAGTGATGTGGCAGGGTTCTGAGCCAAAGTGGATCCCCCCCCCCCATTCTTATGTTGAGGGCTTAACCCGCAGAACCTCAGAATGTGAGCCTACCTGGAGACTGAGTCTTTAGGTAAGAAAGGGAGCTCACGAGAGCGTCTCATTCAATCAGGCTGCTACCTTTATAGCATGAGATTAGCACACAAGCGACACAGGAGGAGGCTCCTGTCTGCAAGCCAAGGAGAAAGGCCTAGAAGGGACCCGGCCCGCGGACGCCTCCAGCACAGCGAGGAGGTATGTGCCAGGCGGTCAGGTCGCGTGCCTGTCCCGGCACAGTAGCTCAGGAGCAGAATCTACGCGGGAGACATCAGAGCATAGTCTGATCCATTTTAGATCACAGATACATACTACGGGAGACAAAACAGCACAGCAGCCAGCCTCCATCATCGACACCCCGGGTCTACTCCCACCCGCCTCCGCCCCCAAAGGCTCCGTCCTCAGACGCCCCGGGCAGCCTGCGTCGTTCCAGCCGTGAAAGACTCAATTATTTAATTGCATTTCTGCTCCTGCGGGGGTGCAGCCAACAACACGAGTACCGCTTTTTCCCTAAAAGCTACAACTTCTAGGTCTGTTTTCCCCAGGAGGAAACTCAGGGAGGAGGGGGCGGGTCCTGGCCGAGGTGCTAACGGCCCCAGGACGGTAAGGCCTCAGGGGCAGCGCAGGACAGCTGGGCGAGGATGGTCTCCACTCTCCTGTCCTGGGCGCCCGAGGCTACTCCCGAAGTCCTAACTACGCAGCCGCAGGGAAGCTGGGGACCCGGGTCTGCAGGTAGGCGCGCCCCATGCAGCGTGCTCACCTCCTCTTCCGCCGTCTCGGACGCGGCCACACGTGCGCGGGGACGGGAAGCCGTAAAGCACGCCGGCCGCGGCTCTGGGGGCGGAGACTTCGGGGGCGGGGCCTGGCGCCTGGCTTGCTGCAGGTCGGGACGGAGGGGGCGGGAACCTCAGGGGCGGGGCCGAGCCCTAGCTCTTCGGCAGGGACTCTGGGGGCGGGGGCTTCGGGGGCGGGGCCTGGCGCGCAGCTGGAGACTGGCCGGGGCTGAGGGGGCGGGGCACGCAGGGGCGGGGCCGAGCCCTAGATCTTGCAGCTCCAAATCTGGGTTCGAGAATCCGAGGAGAGACTGATGGGATCCGGGGAGGGTTCGTCCCTTCATGGAGCCCCGTGGAGCTGGTCTATGACCCGACACGTGACTGGGAGAGCCACGCTGCCTAGCACTAGGATTCCAGCTCCTGAGAGGCCGCTGTGGCGGTCCCGGGCAACTCTGGAACCAGCAGCAGCCCCAGGTGGGACACGGAGCCGCCTGTGGCCGCGCCTCCACGGGGGCCCGTGTCCTCCCCGGTCGGGAAGCGCTCACCTCCGGCGAGGAGCTCTGCCCTGGACTGTTACCGCCCCGGCTCCCGGCACGCTGTGCAGCCCGCACAGCGGCGTCCCCTCTGTCACTGCTCCTTCCCTGCAGCTCGGGGAGTCGACCACCGCCCGAGCATCCAACGCAGCGCGGCCCCTGCTTTTGTAAATAAAGTTTTATTGGAATACAGCCGGCGCGTTCCTTTCCCTGTCTGTGGCTGCTTTCTTTTCCGCTAGAAGGACAGAGTTGAGTAGATAGGACAGAGACGGTCTGGCCCACGAAGCCTAAAATGTTTACTATCTGGCCCTTTACAGAGAGAGTCTGGGGAACTCTGGAAGCAGATTGTGCCCATTTCACAGATGAAGTAACTGAGGCATGCAGCTGGAACAGGGTCCCCAGCTTCTATGCACCTGGTATATGCAGGGCAGCAGCTTCCTGTCCTTCCCCTTACTGCCTCTGCTTCCACACAAATTATCTCTGGCTAATCTAGCCAATTTCCCCTGTCTCTGCTGGCAGTCTTTCTCTTCCATTCCAGCTTCTGGAGAAGGGGGAGAGAAGGCTCACCTCCTGCGTGGAAAGGAGAGGATGGAGGAGAGATGAGGGGGTTGGGAGACCTGGAAGCACGTGGGCACTGAGGCTGGGCTTCGGATGGTTAGCATCTGTGTGGAGCTCTGTCTGCTGCCAGGTCACCCACGCAGCCTGACTGGGGATGACCACTGACCAGCCAGACCATGCCCGATTCCCAGCTAGTCCCCCGTGCTCCTGCGCATCCTGCAGGGGCACCTGGGGGCAGCATTCCCCGTCTCAGGCTTAGCCTAGCAGCTCCTGGTGAGGCAGAGCCTGACCCTATGTGTCTGCCCCACCCCCACCCGGGGCTGTGTTAGCCCTCCAGCCCAGCATCAATGCGGGGAAGGGGGGGTGGAGGGTGTGGGGAGGGGTGGAGGGGGGAGGGAGTGGGGAGGTGGGGATGGACACTGCACAGTGGGGTGGCCCTGCCTCCTCAGTTGCTGTGTGTATGTGTGTGTGTGTGTGTGTGTGTGGTGGGATGTAACTGAGTTCCCGGGTGCACGGCGCCCAGCACAGTTTGGGTCTTGCAAGGCTCGGTTACCATCATCATGGTCTCTGCTGGGGCTGAGACCTGCCCTCGAGGCTCCGTTGTTTGCGTGGACGTCCTGCCGGAACACGTCTTGGTAAATGACCATAGCCAAGTCCAGAATGCCGAACATTCCACAGGGCGAGTGCCATGGTTTGTCCCACAAATCAGTGGCATAAAAAACCAGAGAGGTGCTGTTACCAAAAAGGCTTGAGAAAAAAATAGTAGCGACATGCAACGTGTGGGTTTGTGGGGATCCCGAATTGAATGAACTTAACTACAGAAGACACCTTTGAGACAACTGGAGACGTTGGAATCTGAATTGCATTTTAGCTGTGATTAATGAACGCTTGCTTATTTCGTCAGGCGGGACAATAGGAAGGTGCTATGTAAAGTCCTTATCCCTTAGAGAGGTGTGCTCAAGTATTTGTAGATGAAGGGACACAATCTACTATATGATTCAAAGTCTGAGGATCAATGCAAACCAAAACAGAGAAAGAAGCAGGGTGAAGATGAAACAACATTGACAAAACATTAGTTATTTTTGAACTCTGTGAGAGTTCCTGATTCTGCCCTCTACTTTTGTGTATGTTTCAAAATTTACATAATGAAATGCTTTTTACTTAAAAAAAGGTGCTTTTAAAATATGAGCTGACCAATTAGAGTTCTTCACAATAAAAAACTTTGGTATTTCATCTGTTTCCACTGTCAAGGAAAGTAGAAGGATCCAGCCTCCCAGTCATGCACCTGGGAAGGCAGCGGAAGTTGGCCCAAGTCCCTGAGTCCCTGCACCCATGTGGGAGACCTGGATGGAGTTCCAGGCTCCTGGCTTTGGCTCGAACCAGTCCTGGCTGTTGTGGCCATTTGGGGAGTGAACCTGTTAGGCCGTTACAAAACACACCAAACACCGGAGTAAGGGAAAGGGTTTATTGGGGAAAACCCAGCAGACCGGAGGGAAGGGATGAAGACGGCAAAAGAGAAGGAGAGTGTAACAGAGAGAAGGATAGAGAGGAGTGGAGCTAGTGAGGAGAGAAGAGAGAGAGAGATGAGAGAAGAGAGACAGGAGGGAGGGGAGGAAAGCAGATGAGAGGAGCCAAGAGAGAGGAGAGAGCAGAGAGAGAGGAGAAGAGCCACATGTTCAGGAACAGGTCCTTTTAAAACAGGAGCAGTGAATCCCATTAGGATGGGGGTGGAGCTTGATACCAGTGGTTGGGCCACGTGGCCACCTAGCTTCCAGCAATGATGGCGGAGGCTAGAGGCTAGGATGGTGTCAGGGTGTAGATTGCGCCATAGATAAAACTGCACCATTTTCCTAACAGAACCAGCAAATGGAATTAATCTCTCTTTCTCTCTGCCTTTCAAATAAATACCTCCCCCCCTTTTAAAGTAGAAGGACAATCCCCAGAATGGGAGGGAATGTTTGTAAATCATAGATCTGATAAGGTATAGTATCCAGAGTAGATAAAGAACTTCTAACAATAAAAAGAAAACCCAGTGACCTGAACAGACATTTCTCCAAAAGAGATCTCTCAACAGCCAGAAAGCATGTATGCCCACCAGTATGAATCATTAGAGAAATGCAACCCAAAACCACAATGAGGGGTGGGGGTTGTGGTACAGCTGGTGAAGCCCCTGCTTGGGATGCCTGGTACCAAGTTTCATGTCCGCTTTTGATCCAGCTTCCTGCTGACTTGTCTGGGAGGCAGAGGGTGATGACATGGTACCCATGTGGAAGATCCGGGTGGAGTTCCTGGCTTGTGGCTTCAGTCTGGCCCAGCCTCAGCTGGGAGTGAACCAGTGGATAGAAGATCTTTTCCTGTCTCTCCCTCTCTCTGTTATTCTGTCTTTCAAATAAATAAATAAACAAACCTTTGGAGAACAAATCTCCTATAATGAGATACTACTACAGAGCCATTAAGGTGACTACAACAAAAACACAGAAAATAACAAGTATGGATGAGGATGTGGAGAAACTGGAACCCTTGTACATGGCTGGTAGAAACAGCCACTGTAGAAAACAGTTTGGCAGGGGCTGGTGCTGTGGTGTAGTGGGTAAAGCTGCTGATTGCAGGGCCAGAATCCCATATAGGCACCGGTTCGAGACCCAGTTGCTCCACTTCCGATCCAGCTCTCTGCTATGGCCTGGGCCCCTGCACCTGCGTGGGGGATCTGGAAGAAGCTCCTGGCTCCTGGCTTCAGAATGGCACAACTCTGGTCATTGTGGCCAATTGGGGAGTGAACCATCGGATGAAAGACCTCTCTCTTTCTTTCTCTCTCTCTGCCTCTCCTCTCTCTGTGTAACTTTAACTTTCAAATAAATAAATAAATCTAAAAAAAAAAAAAAAAAAGAAAAGAAAACAGTTTGGCAGTTCCTCAAAAAAGAAAAAAAAAAAAAGCTTAGAATTACCATGCAATTTCATTTGTAGGAATAGGACCAGAAAATAGAGAATAAGTACTCAAACAAATACCTGTGTATAAATGTTCATGTCAACACTATCCACAATAGTTAAAGGTGAAAACAACTCAAAATGGCGCAGTCTTATCTATGGTGTGATCTATACCCCGACACCATCCTAGGCTCTAGCCCCTGCTGCCATGGCTGGAAGCCAGGTGGCCACATGGCTGAACTGATGGTGTCAGCCCCACCCCCATCCTAATGGGATTCGCTGCTCCTACTATTCTGCCCGCCCCCCGGCAAAGTTTTAAAAGGACTTGTTCCTGAACACGTGACTCTTTTCTCTCCATCTCCTGATCTGTCTCCCTCTCTGTCTCTTTCGTTCTCTCTCTTGATCTCTTTCTTACACTCTCCTTCTCCCTCTTTTTCCTTCTTCACCCCTTCCCTACAGTCTGTTGGGTTTCCCCAAATAAACCCTTTCCCTTAAAAAAAAAAAAAAGAAAACAATCCAAATGCCTATCAACTGATGAATGGGTAAACACATCCATACAGTGGGATATTATGCAGCCATGAAAAGGCCATGCTAAACATGGGTGACCTTGAAAATGGTATGGGACTGGTCAGGGAGATAGACCAGGTTCAGGAGCTGGAGGCCACACCCCCCTTACCCCCTACATAATCTCACCTGTACCCACCCACCTGTCAATCAGACTACATAACCATTCCCCTTTTGGAGTAAGAGACCTGGAGAGCGATGGGCCAGCTCTCTCTCTCTCTCTCTCTCTCTCTCTCTCTCTCTCTCTCTCTCTCTCTTGCTGTGCTCTCTTGCTCGCACACCCTCTGGCTTGCAGCCTCTAGCCTGCTCTCTCTCCTGGTGGACCCCTGGAAACAGCTGGTATGAAGTTCCCGGTTTTCCCTTCTTGGTCCACTCTCCCTTAATATTCTTCTCACTCTCTAAATAAATTCTAAAATTTACTATGCTGCATGCTGTGTTTGGGCCTGTGCTTAGAATTCTTCTCTAAGTAAAAGGCAAGAGCCCGGTGCATTAAA